TCATCAGCAAACCTGCTGATAGTACACTCAATTCCCTCATCTAAATCATTGATGAATATATTAAATAATACTGGTCCCAGTACCGACCCTTGAGGCACTCCACTAGATACAGGCCTCCAACTAGACTCCGCCCCATAGACTACAACTCTCTGGCTTCTCTCCTTCAGCCAGTTCACAGTCCACCTCACTACCCGATCATCCAGACCACACTTCCTCAATTTAGCTGCGAGGATGCTGTGGGAGACCGTGTCAAACGCTTTGCTGAAGTCAAGGTAGACCACATCCACTGCTCTGCTGTCATCCATCCGCCGTGTTATTTCCTCATAAAAGGCTATGAGATTGGTCAAGCACGACTTCCCCTTGGTGAAGCCATGTTGACTGCCCCTCATAACCCTCTTATCCTTGATATGCCTTAAGATGGCACCAAGGATAAGGTGTTCCATCACTTTCCCAGGAATGGAGGTGAGGCTGACCGGTCTATAGTTACCCGGGTCCTCCTTCTTGCCCTTTTTGAAGACAGGAGTGACATTTGCTTTCCTCCAGTCCTCAGGCACCTCTCCCGTTTCCCAAGACTTGGTAAAGATGATGGAGAGTGGTCTAGCAATGACCTCCGCCAGTTCCCTCAGCACCCGCGGGTGCATCCCATCCGGACCCATGGATTTATGGATGTCCAGATTGCTCAACTGGTCTTTAACCCATTCCTCATCGACTAAGGCAGACCGCTCCGTTGACCTCTCTTCATCAGAGGTCTCAGCGGTACAGGGCTCTTCAGGACTGCCTCCGGCAGAGTAGACAGAGACAAAGAAGGCATTCAGTAACTCTGCCATCTCTGTATCTTCTGTCACCAGGGCACCCGTCCCGTTCATCAGCGGGCCTACATTGCCTCTGGTGTTAGTTTTATCTGCCATGTATTTGAAAAAGCTCTTTCTGCTGTCCTTAATCATCCATGGCAGCACCCCCTCACCGCAGGCCACGCCCCCTCACATAGGCCACGCCCCCTCGGCATCAGCCCTGCCTACACTGGCTCTGCAGGCAGGCATCAGGCAGAGAGAGGAGGATGCTCTCGTATCCCAGCCTCTCCTGAATGCTGTGCCCGGCAAACCGTAAAATCCCCGTGTCCAGGATCATAGGATCATGGAATGGTTTGGGTTGGAAGGGAGCTTTAAGCTTATCCAGTTCCACTGGAACAATCTGCTCTAGTCGATGGTGCCCCTGCACATAGAAAGGGTTGGAAATGGATGAGCTTTAAGGTTCCTTCAAACCAAGCCATTCCATGATTCAGTGTTGGAATTGAATCCCAAAGCATCAAATGCCAAACTCGGGTGCTAATTCATGCACATTCAAACTGATCCTTTCCTTGAGTATTCCAATGCCCAAGGAGACAAGAGCTTCTGGTTCCCAGCCCTCTGGCTTGGGATCTTCTTCCCAAGGTCTAACCTAAATCTCTCCATTGAGCCTTGTTAAACCACTGTCACATTCACTATCAAACTGTGTTAAAACACTGTTTTACATCAATAACCATATTTCTGCTTCTGCCTGGTAAGTGATTCACTTCTCCATCTCCAACAGGTAGAATACAGCTATAGTTGTATGGCTTTGCCTGTTCAAGACAGCTCCAGGCACCTGATTTTAGGGCCTTCAGCTCAGGTAGAACATTCACAGTCCCTTCACTGCTGCACCCAGTAATGCCAGAGACACCCCTGAAGGGTTCCTGGTTTTCAGGCTTGAAACACATGCAGTCCCCCAGGCCTGACTGTGACTTACAGGAGATGTCTGTGTGCTCAAAACTGCTCTATCTCTGACACAAAGTCCACCCCAAATGGGTGGAAAGAGGTAAATTAGGTGGTTTTCCCAAAGGAAAGCAGGCAGTAGATGTAGAAGAGCGATGCACAGCTGCTTTGGAAAGGCATTTGTAGAAGCTAGGGAGGATAAATTCATGGGGAGAGCATTGGGCGCAAAGACAGGCTGAGCTATGTGCGCCCTTCCCAAACCTGGGGGTGTCCATGGGCTCTGCCACCAACACACTGGGCAGCCCTGCTCCTGCAGCTTCCCTTCTCCATGTGATGGAGACAATGGAGTGTGATTCCAGGGCTGAGCTGGATCCTTGCCTGCCTTATTGAAGGACATGTCTAAATGACGGGGTCTTTCTATGGGGTGTGTGAAGGTCATAACCAAACATATTAACACGCTTCCCATCAACCTGCCATCAGCTCTGCTGACCTGGGCAGGTTCTGATGCCATTAGCTGCTGCTGCTTTGCCCCTTGGCAAGAAGCAATCAAGTTTCATTTCAACAATTCATCCTTGGGATTTGCAAACAGTTTGAAAGCAACCCCAAACAGCCCATGTATGTTGTGACTGGGTTTGGCTTCCTATCCTTAATAGCTCTGAACGTCATAGGTGGCACATTAGACAAGTCTGCCCAGTGAGATGGTAGGGACAACACAGCAGTGGAGGCTGTAGGGCTGCCAGGATGCTGAAGGGGTGACCAGAGTGCCTCTTGAGGACCATGGCTCCATGGACCTGCATGGGAATGAATGTTTTTCCCATAGCACTAGCAGGTCAGACTCTGGTGTTTGACACCAATGTCATTAATAGGGTGTCAATGGGGAGAAGGCTGTGTTTGGTGGTGGTTATTCATCTTGGGGATGGTGTTAAAGGGGTCTTACAGGATAGAGCAATAAAGCAGCAGGTCCTGTTCACTGTAGGCAACTGTAAAAGTGATGCAGGTGGGAATAATGAAATCCCAGACTGGTTTGGGTTGGAAGGGACCTTAAAGCTCATGCAGTTCCAATCCCCTACCACAGGCAGGGACACCTTCCACTAGAGCAGGGTGCTCCAAGCCCCCGTGTCCAACCTGGCCTTGAACACTGCCAGGGATGGGGCAGCCACAGCTTCTCTGGGCACCCTGTGCCAGCGCCTCAGCACCCTCACAGGGATGAGATTCCCCCTTATATCCAACCTGAACTTCCCCTGTTTCAGTTTCAAAGGTGGCTTTTGGGTGGAAGAGCAAAAGCTTTGAACAGCGTTAACTCAAGGCAATGTAAAGTGAGAGGAAACAGGATGACTTTTGCTGGGCCCAGTGAGATTAGGTTTTGGGAGATGGGGAGGCTTATCTTGTACAGCCCTGGAGTCATGGCAGGGTTAGGAGGAAGGGGGTGTTTATTCCATGGAGCAGGACAACAAGGGATTTCATTGCATCTTTCTGCTCAGTTTTGCATTTTTCACTGGTGGCTGCATGACAGAACATGTTAGTGTAGAAACAGAGCAGTAAATCAGGTGCCTCCAGTTGCACAGGGGGGTGGTGGCTGCTGGGCAGGACTACATCTCCCAGCCTACACCAGCCTGCCTGTGCTGGAAGGCACTGGGGCTGGTGGGGAGGAACAACGCAGTGACCGAGCATCATACATGGAGAGCAGCACCATGAGCCTGTGTGTGAACACTGACCTGCAGCAGAAGTGTGTGGAAGCTGCTCCGAAGTGGTCTGTATAAAGGGATGGATCATCGGTGTGGTGGCTCTCAGGGTTTGGTGGGCCCCATGCATGGTGGCTAACAGTGGGAAGTGAACACTGAGGCAGAATGGCTCTCCAGGCATGGTGACCATCTGAGCATGGAGCTGTATTGGGTTTGTATGGCAAGGGTTTGGTAGCAAGGGGGCTACAGGGTCGGCTTCTGTGAGAAGCTGCTGGAAGCTTCCCCTGTGTCTGATGGAGCCAATCCCAACTTGCTCTGAGACAATTCCATATCTGGCCAAGCCCAAGCTCACCAGTGATGGTGGCAGCACCTCTGGGATAACGTAGCTAGGAAGGGGAAAAAACCCTATGCAATGGCAGCAGAGTAAGAATATGGGATAGAACCAGCCCTGCAGACACTAAAGTCTGTGCAGATGGAGGCAGGAGGTGCCCCAAGCGCCAGAACAGAGGCTCCCCTGCAGCCCGTGGTGCAGCCCATGGTGAGGGAGGTCATGCCCCATAGCCCATGGAAGTCCATGGGGGAGCATTCACCTGCAGCCCATGGAGAACTGCACAACAGAGCAGGGGGATGCCCAAAGCCACCCGTTCCTGAAGGACTGCACCCTATGGGAGGTTTCCACACTGTAGCAGATTATGAAGAGCTGCAGCCTGTGGGAAGAACTCATGTTGGAGAAGTCCAAGGAGAACTGTCTCCCATGGGAGACGTTGGAACAGGGGAGGAGTGTGAGGAGTCCTCCCCTGAGGAGAAAGGAGCAGTAGAGACAAGGTGTAATGAGATGATCTGACCATAATCCCCATTCTATGTTCTTCTGCACTGCTGGAGAGGAGGAGATGGAGACTTTGGGAGTAAAGTGAAGCCTCGGAAGAAGGGAGGGGTGGGAGAAATTGTGCTTGGATTTGGGTTTATTTCTCATTATCCTGCTCTGATTTGATTAGTAATAAACTCATAAACTCATTTCCCCGACTTAAGTCTGTTTTGCCCATGATGGTAACTGGTGAGTGATTTCTCCTTGTTCTTATCTAAGCCACGAGTCTTTCCTTACTATTCTCTCTCCCCTGCCTTGTATCACTGGAAACAGTGTGAATTCACAGAATCCCAGCCTGGTTTGGGTGGGAAGGGAGCTTAAGGCTCAACCAGTTCCAACCAGGGACACCTTCCACTAGAGCAGGTTGCTCCAAGCCCCTGTGTCCAACCTGGCCTTGAACACTGCCAGGGATGGGGCAGCCACAGCTTCTCTGGGCACCCTGTGCCAGCGCCTCAGCACCCTCACAGGGAAGAGCTTCTGCCTAAGAGCTCGTCTCAGTCTCCCCTGTTCTGGCAGGTTAAAGCCATTCCCCTTGTCCTGTCCCTGCAGACCCACTACCTCTGGTCACACCCGCGGACGGCGACCGCTAGTCCCACAGGGATCCATTGACTCCCTATGGACGCTGACCCCGGTCCGCGGTCCCAGGGGGGCGGTGCGGGGTCGGGGCCGCCCCGTTGCGGTCCTTGTTAAACCCCGCCCCGGGCGCGGCTGTGGCTGCCTGGTCTGTGCCGCGGGCTGCGGCCAGTGCTGGATGCGGGCGGGATGTACGCGGGGAGAAAGAGGAGGAAGCCGGTGCCTAAGCGGTGGGTGCAGCTCGGGGGGTGGGGGTACCCCGTTTCCCTCTATGGGCGATGGGAGTGAAGGGGAGTGCGGGACGCGTTGTGCGGGACCGGGCAGGGAGACGTGAAAACTGGTCTGTGGGAGGCAAACTGGTTACGGTGAAGCTGTGTGAAGCTGCGCTGATAGGAGCGTTGAAGAATAGGAAGAGATAGGGAGACAGCGTGCTTGGGCTGCTGTATTTTAATGAGTGTTAATTGGAGCTAATACTCTAGGCTCTGGCATGCGTGCTGGTGGAGAAGTAAAGATCCCAGCGGTGATTGTCCTGGATGCCCATGGGAAAGCTTGTTGGAGAGTTTGAGATGCAGGCTGGTTTCTGTTTTAGTGCCCGTGTAAGTCAAATACACACCGACTCCTCCTTACCTAAAGATCCCTATTGCTTAACAGTTACACTGCGTGCTGCTCAGTAGCTGTTGCACAACACACTCAGATGTGTTGCTGGAGTTTCCTGGCTTTGGGATTCCTCATGCCTACTATGTACCTGCTCTGAAGTCACATCAGCCTGGTTACCTCAGGTCATTGGGTGTATAACAAATGAAGGTGTCAATATAGGGAGACTGAGATGAGCTCTTAGGCAGAAGCTCTTCCCTGTGAGGGTGCTGAGGCGCTGGCACAGGGTGCCCAGAGAAGCTGTGGCTGCCCCATCCCTGGCAGTGTTCAAGGCCAGGTTGGACACAGGGGCTTGGAGCAACCTGCTCTAGTGGAAGGTGTTCCTGCCCATGGCAGGGGCTGGGACTGGAGGAGCTTTAAGCTCCCTTCAACCCAAATCAGTCTATGATATATGTTTCTTGGAGGCAGATGAGCTGAGCTCAAGGCTGGGATAAAGGAGTGAGCATCATCATTACAAACCTATGGAAGCAAGGGGAGCCAGAACCTCTCTTGAGTGTTTACTGGGGAGTCTTGAGGTGTGTGAATGCAAAGGGTTGTTACACTGCCTCAAGCTTTCTCCTGCTCACTTTGAGGCAGTGATTTAGCCCTGTGGTGTGGCCATACTGAGGGACTGGGCTGGATTTGTGTGATGCAGCATGCAGGAGAAGGTGTCCTTTTGGAGCAGGAGAGATCTTGATCCCTGATACTACAGGGCCAACATGGGAATCAGAACTGATTCTTTTCCTCTGTGCCTGGGCACATCTTGCAGCAGGGTCCTGCTGGGAGATGGGAGTAGGGCTGGGATGGTGGGATCTGCAGCCAGCTGGTTGAGGAGGGAAGGATGGGGGCTTGGGGGATGCTCTGGTCCCTTTACTGTTTGCTCAGAGCTTGTTACTTGTTCAAAACCAATTAATAGTAATTAGGAAGCAATGTATCAGCTGGGGCACCCTTGTCTCTGTTAATGGTTAATGTCATTCCATGCTTTCCAAAGTGATCAGCTTCCTGCTGTGTTGCCAGTTCAAAGGGCAGCTGATGGAAAACAACTGTGCAGAAGTGGCACAGCCTTTGCCTTGCCGGGAGCGGAGCTTTCCCTATGGCTCTGCTCCAGCCTGAATGCACAGGGCTTGTCCAAGCAGCTTCTCTATGGCACAGCCATGCTGAGCTTTGTGCTGTATCCATGTCCTAAGGCTGTGCTGTGTTAGGGCACCAGCGCACATAAAAGAACACCCTGGTGCAGTGTTCCTCAGGGATTGCTGTTGGGACCAGCACTGATTGGTGCACAGTCAGCAAGTTTGCTGATGGTACTGAGCTGTGTGGTACAGTGACACGCTGGAGGAAAGGGATGGGATCCAAAGGGACCTGGACAAGCTGGAGTGATGGGACCATGAGAACCTCATAGAGTTCTACAAGGCCATTGGTTAGTAAAGGCACTGATGCCAGTGTGTTTTGCCCAGCTCACAGGGACAAGTTCCGTGTTGGGTAGTACCCAGCCCCTATGGAAAAGCAGGGTATATCCCTTCTGATGCTTCTGTTAGAAACCAGCATGGTTGAGCTTTCCTGGAGCAGTGCTCCAATTCTCCATTCATGCTTTGAAAGCCCATTTGGTAGCTCTCAGCAGTGCAAGCACCTCATTTAATGCTCATTTCCTCCCTTGTCACACATGGGAGCACTCCTGCCAGGCAAGATTTGAGGATGGGAGTAGAGGGGAGAGCTTAAATTGCTGCTAAACACTAGCAGACCCTGTTATCTGAAGCTACTTTAGGAAGCAAAGATGCCTGCAGAGAGGGAGGTTGTGGTTAGAGGAATTACATCAAGGCAATGAGTTGTATGTTAGGGCATGCACTTGAACCAAATACAGAGAGAAAGGAGAGCCTGAAGGGTTTTGCTTCAAGCTACAGAAGCCAAGCTGGCATTATCAACCAAAGGAGACAAGGTGACACCCAGGACTCATTATAAGGTTATTAACTAACCTCTTCCTCCTGTGGATGGAGCTTCAATTGTAGTGTGTGAAGTGACTGCAGCTGATGGAGATGGGTCCCCGTGGCTGCTTAAGAGCTGCTCTTGTGGACCCTATGCCTGTGGTGGGGACCTGGTGTGAGCATGTGGAACATGGTCATGGAGAGACCTGCTGTGTGGAAAGGGTGTGTGGGATGAGCAAGGACAGAGCAGAGGGTGGGTGGAAAATTCTTACCCAGAGTGTCAAGAGATGCTCTGATGGCTCATAGGTCTCTGCCCTCGGTGTCCCTTCCCCTGATAGGGCTCAGTGGTGGGAGCAAGGCTGTAGTATCTCAGTTGTATTGTACATGGAGGTGCCCGTCTGAGCATTACCCAACACTACAACTAAGGAGCATCACACCCCGAGCCCTACAGGGTGATCTGCTGGGATGGCCATTCCTCTTCCAGCCATTGCCTTTTGCTGCCACATGGCTTCACCTTGGCTTCCTAATGTTTTACTGTAGTGGCCGCCCTAAAGCCAACACGAGTCTGGAAGGAGCCTGGTTGGACAGCCCCGCTTGGATTAACCTCTCCTTTGCCTCTTCCAGCCCCAAACCACCATCCCTTGAGGGTGTGAAGTCCAACCCTTCCAAGCGGCACCGGGACCGGCTCAACCAGGAGCTGAGCAAGCTGACTGGATTGCTGCCCTTCCCTGAGGATGTTCGCACCAGGCTCGACAAGCTCTCCATTCTGCGCCTGGCTGTTGGGTACCTGAAGGTGAAGAGCTACTTGCTGGGTGAGTGTCCATGGGCTGTGAAGGGTGATAAAGCCCCTGGGGTCAATCCCCACTGAGCAGCTTGCATCCCACCCCAAGCCATGCTTGTTTGGGGATGGGAAGTCATGTCTCCTGCATGTAGGAGTTGGGGGTCTGGCAGCTTCTCCATCTGCTTCTCATTAGCAACCATTCCCCTCCTTTATGTCCGAAGTGCCTCCTGTGTCCTGCTTCCACCAGCCTGTGGTGAAAAAAGGGCCAATAGGTAAAACTATGTTGAGCAACAACTTCTCTCTCATTTAGCTGGAACTGTGATTTATAGCTAAATGAATTAGGTTGAAACAGGCCAAGAGATTGAGAGAGCTGGGCTGGTTCAGCCTGGAGAAGAGAAGACTCCTTAAAGAGAGACCTTTGAGCAGCTCCAGTGCCTAAAGGGGCTCCAGGAAACCTGGAGAGGAGCTTTGGACAAGGGCCTGTAGGGCAGGACAATGGGTGGTGGTGGTGTGTGTCGGTAGCTCCCTGCTCTACTTGCCACCCTGGTCCTGCTGGGCTCGGCTGTGGTGATGTCTACCTCACATCTCTAATGAGTGTTTCCAGGAGATGGAGGGTGATGCTTCATGCCCAGAGATCCCAGTTTATTTCTGTGGGATGGAGCATTGAGCTGATATGCCTGGAGAACTGAGATCCTTAGGTTTGCCTCCTTGCTAACTGTGGAGACCCTAGTACCACAGCAGGGCTGTGGCTGGACACTGCTGCTGTTTTGCTCTTGTGTCATGAAACTGAATGTTTAGCATCACTTAAAGAATCACTCTGAGATATTAATACAGTAATTTTAATAGAAACCTGTAAATGTGTGATTCAACAGCATTCAATGGCAAGGTCCACTCTATTCCATACTAAAAGATATCATGCCTGAATTGCTGATGATTCGTACAGGATTGGGTTACAGTGATTTATACAGAGTTGAATTGAAATAGTATGTGCAGAAATTGAATCATAGAATAACCTCACCACCCTCAAAGGGAAGACCTTATGCCTAAGATCTCCCCAAAGAAGGTACAAAGGAATAAGGGAGACCCTCCTGTTGAGTCATGAGGTTCAGGTTAGGCCCTATTACTCTCTAGGAGTCCAAGTGCAGCTGAATCCAGTCTTATCTCAGCCCTGGTCAAGATTTTACCTCTGATACATCACTGGAGTTCCTGCCTGCTCAAAGGTTGTGCTGGTACCGGGTGACTGTGCCTACGACCCAGGAGGTCCTTCCAGGGATCAGAATCCCAAAGGATGCGGTGGGGCAGGAAGAGGCACCTTGCTGCTCTCTTTAACTGACAGGACCAGGTTCTTTATCACCCAGCACTTCTCTGGTGCTGAAGTGGGAAAATGGGAGTGCAGAGTGTGGCTCTGCAGTTGATAGGACACGAGCTGCAAGCTGCAGTGCAGATGAAGCCTGCAACATAGCCAGGGGTTGCTTTTAGAACCTGCTTATCAGCAGTGGCTTAAATGCTGCTGCAGAGCAGTGTGTGAGGGCTGGGGATACATGGACTAGTGTGTGTTTGTGTCTGGCACGGCATGGAGATATGGACAGGTTTCATCTCCAATGCCTTGGGCTTGATGGCATGGGTGATGGATAGGCCCTGATGAAGCCACAGCATGTGGAGGGCAGGAAGCCATCAACATACTTAGAGGCATCCTATTGCATCCTATTCCAAGACTGAATAAACTTGGCTGCCTTAACTTTTGCCCATACAAAGCCCGCTGGGACTCTACCAGGACCTTTTCTAGCTGGGGTTGCTGGTTGCCAAGAGGAGACCCGTATGCCAAGCTCTCCAGCTGGGATCCATGTGATTTCCACTGGGATGCGCTCAGCACATGCTTCCCAGCATGAGAACTGCTGTGGAAAAGCAATCACCACTGAATGACTTCATGTGGAGTGGCAAGTTCAAGTTCACCCCTTGCCCCTTCTTGCCAGTCCAGTTACTCCCATTTGGCCATGGTGCCTGTGATTCCCAGTTCATTCCACTCTCTTTGTCTACGTCTCTCCTGTGATGCTCATCTTGTTTGACTTCACATCATCCCATTGATTCATCAAGGTCAGCCTCACGCCCTGCCTGATGAAGACCTGTAGCATCTGCAGCCTACTCATGGTTTAGCACATCAGAGGTTTCAAGGGGAGATGGTGGAAGCCCTTGTGCTGTGCTTTCTGCTTTGTGCAGGCTTCATTCCTGTAGCAGGAGAGCACGACATTGCCTGAGCATCCTTGCCCTCTGCTGCCTCTGACAGCAGCTCAAGCCCATTGCCTTGTCTCCAGGCAACTTGAATTGCTGCCATGTTGATGAAGAGCTGCTCTTTCCAAGCATCTCTTGGGCTTGGGATTCTGTGGCCACAAAACTGGGATGGAGAATCCTTGGTCCTCCCTGTTCCTGGTAATGCTGGCACCATCTTGACCAAGCTCCACTCTGCAGTGTCAGCACATCGTGGAGATGCTCCTTACATCACCTTCACCCAGCTGTGTTGGGGAGGCAGCAGGAGGGGAAGGAAGCTCCAAGCCATCACCCTGTGGTGGGCTCTCATAGCGTGATCATTCATGGTGTGTGTGGATTTATGTGCTGGTGAAATCCCCCAGAGACCACCAATAACTTCTCCAGTGAATGGGGAATGTTTCAGGCGTGATTTGTCGCTCCCATGAGGTTACCCATGGTGGGGGCTTTTTCCTGCCCTTTAAAGGCACTGTTTTTCCCTTTTCAAGGCACAAAGTCTCTGTACCCCTCTGCAAGAACAAGGCCAGGCGCCATGTGTTGAATTTATGATGAAAGTAAGGGTATCCCATGTATCCTGGTGGTAGAGGGATGTGTGAGCATCTCCTTGGCCTCTGGGCTGGATGTGAACACAGCTGCTCTGCACCACCAATGCTTAGATGCACTATTAGAAGACATGCCCTGTACTTAGAACCTTGTAACCCCTGTGCAGTGATGTTTGATGGCAAAGAGTTGTTAAAAGACACCATCTCTTTGGCTTTCCTACCCTTTCCCTGGGCTCCAGGCTTTCTCCCCAAGCCAGGCCACTGTAGTGTGTCCCATGGGAGATACAGTCTGCAGGGTTTCCTAGCTCACAAATGGACCACTCTGTGTTTGAGAGGAGGGAATGGGGGTATCCCTGATGGAAGATAAAAAGCCCTCTGTTAAGGTTGGCGGGAGAGTTGAAAACAATCATTCTACTGGGAAGTGTCATATAGCAAATAGGTGTTTCCTGTTGGATCCTATAAGCCCAGAGCAGCTTTCCCTGCAGAAATGCTCCTGGTGGATACTGGGGGAGAACTGGAGACCACGTGCCTTCAGGATGTGCATCCTTGCAAAATGCTTTCTGCCCTTTTGGAGCTTAGAGTTGGAAGAGCTTGGTTTCCTTTTGTATCACCCTGCCATCTTATCCCATTGCAATGCTTTGGACAGGAATCAGCCCTTCCAAATAACCCAGGGTTTAAAGGCACAACTGCTGTTTCATGTCAAAACTATTCCGTTCCATCATGTGCAAATTGAAGCCATACCCATGGTCCAGATGGGCTTTGGATGTTTGTCCTTGGGGATTGCTTGGCAATGGTGCGAGGAGGCTTTTTGCTGGGTGAGTGCCTCGAACCTGCCTTTCGCTGTGCCTTTCCCTGGCTGATGGATAAGCTGAGCACAGAGACCACTTTCCTAGCACTGATCCCCCTTTTTCCCAGCCTTTCCCAAAGGTCTCTCATCGCCTGGATGGGCTGATCCTCCTCTTGCTGATTTGGGAAGTGTCTTTGCAAAGGGAATGGGAGCTTGTGTGGGGCGCAGTGCAGGTTCGTGATGAAGCCTAAAGTGACCAACAGGACAAGGGGAATGGCTTTAACCTGCCAGAGGGGAGATTGAGATGAAGTTGGACAGGACTCAGAGCAACCTGCTCTAGTGGAAGGTGTCCCTGCCCATGGCAGGGGTTGGAACTGGATGGACTTTAAGGCCCTGGTTCTATCAGTGATGGAGATTGAGGTTAATTCTGCTTAATGGGCTCAGAGCATCCTCTCCACTGCTCCTCTGTGCCACCTTATGCAAGACCTTCAGCTAAGTGCCTTTAACCATGTGCCTGGCTGCTGGCAGCCTGTGGGCTTGCTGGCACTCAGGCTCCACATGTCAATAGATCTGAACAATGTTTTGCCTTCAGGCTAGTTTTAATACAAACATGCCTGGTGATGGCTTGAAGAGCAGAATGCCTCATTCCAGAAGTTTCAGGTGAAACCTGGTTAGGTTTGGGTTTACTTTGGCTTTGAACACTGGGCTATTGGGGTTGGGAAATAGACCAACAAACCTTGAAAGCTGTTCTGTGGGGAGGTGAGAGCTTCTACCATGTTAAAAATCAACTGCATGGTCAGATTTGGGATGGTTTGTGCTTGTTCCTCATTTCCCACCACTTCTCCCAGTTCAGAAGACCTCTTCCTTCTGGATCCAGCCAAGGCCATGCAGCACCATCAGAAAGCCAGGGCAAGTGTTGAGCTCTGGCCAGCACTGGGTTGCTTCAGAAGCTTGCAGCAGTGAGGTGATTCCTATGTGGGAGCTGATTTGAGCCTTATCCTGTGTGGTTTTGGTTGAGGTGGTGCAAAGGCATGCATTAAGTTTTGTTGGAAGCTGAAGTTTGGATTGAGTTTGCTCAATGAGGATTCCCCAGCTGATGAAGTACCACGTTGGGGATATCCCTGCGGAGCTGCTGTCCTCATTCCTATTCCTATTCCCTGTTCCCTGAGCAACCAGTCCTGTGATGCTTGAGGTCCTCTAACCATGGGTGTTGCCTTGCAGGCATCCAGTGAGGACATGCAAGGCAGCATGGGGAGGTCATGGCTATGGGAGCCAAGAGCTGTTCAGTGTCTCATTGGGAATGTCATGGCCACCAACCCTCTGATCTGCTTCCGAGCAGCCAAAGGCAGGAGGAAGAAGTGTGGGTGCTTTGGTGTCATCTTGGATGTTTTGGGAAGGTTTTCCACTGTCTTTTTGTCATCCATGAAGGGCAGGAAAGAAGATGTTGTGGCACTGGGGTGGCTTGAAGCCAACTTCAGCTCTTCCAGGCTGAAGACTTATTGCTGTGTTGTGTGATGTTTCCTCCCTCCTATGCTTTGCATCTCTGCTCAGACCTTAGCAGAAACGAGGTTTCCTAGCAATGGAATGGTAATCCCTTGAAGGAAGCATTGGGCAAGTTGGGCATGTCTCTCTATGTCTCCGGAAAGGGGCTCTTCTCCAGTCCCCACTGCTCCCATCCTCCTGCAGGCTGCATCCATGTGCAGTGGTGCAGCCTGTGCATGAGTAACCCTGAGGCTGGGAGGAGGAGGAGGAGAAGGAGGGAGAGGCTCCCACTTTACCCCTTCCATGCTCATTACTTGCCCTCTTACCCGCAGCCACAGCTACGGATGTTGGTGACTACGTGCTGGAGCAGCCCCGAGCCCCTGGAGGGAGCAGATGGATGAACCCACAGGTCAACAGGGAGCTGTTTCCTGAGGGGGAACTGCTGCTCCAGGTATGGTGCTGTAGCTTGGGTTGTGTGGGCTTTTCCCTTGGCTCCTGCCACCCAGCCATGGTCCCATGCAATGGAGCATGTGGTCCCATCAGCAAGAGGAGACCCTGCTTTACCTTTGCTGCTATTCTACAGGCACTGAGCACCTTGGGGCAGGGAGCAGTGACACTGCAAGGCTGGGATGGGGCCCTGGACCCACTCTTAGTTTGCTGCCCCTTTTCAGCATATTTGTCCCATAAACTGCATCTGTAACAGCGCAGGGCTTGGAGTGGTGGATTGTGCCCTGTCATGCAGCAGTGTAGGGATTGATCCCTGGTTAGTGTCTGAGGTGATGGGTTTCTTGTGTTCCAGTCAATGCCAAGAGGAGAATGGTGACAGCAGTAGGGTGAAACATCCACCAGGAGCATTTTGCTCTACCTGAGGCATTGCATGAACTCCTTAGGTTGAGCTCCTGGGATGGAAGATGGTTTAGTTTGGGGATGGAAAGCTGGATCTTGGAAGACACTGGTGGACAGATTCAGAGGGTGATGGGAGCTCTGCTTTGTATAGAGGCCAGTGTGTGTGTGTGTAATGAAACAGCTGTCAGTGAACTTCAGAGGAGGTGGTGAATCAGCTGAATGCTGCTTGTTTGGGCTGCCAATGGAAGCAGAAAGGAAATGAGGTAGGAAAAGTCACACGAAAAGGCTGGTTGCCGAATAAACATCTGGGCATGTCAGCTCTAAGCTTGCCACTCCTTGGGGCTGCAGGACAAGTCCATGCAAGACCTTGAGTTGTTCCATGACTGTTTCTGACACTGCATGTGTCTGTGCTTTATGGGCCTTCAGTCCCCTTCTCTCTTCTTCTACCAGCAGATGAGTGTTTGGCTCTCCTTAAAGTCTGCCTTTGTTGCCTTCCAACCCAAGAGGGTTGGAACTTGATGATCTTAAAGTCTTTTCCAACCCTAACTATTCTGTGGTTCTATGATAGTCAGGAGGGAGACTGTGGTTGCCCCACTCCCATGATGGAGCAGCTCTCTGGAGGCTTAAGCTGAGCCATATGATGGCACTTTGTTGAGCATTGGCACCTTTGGGTGACTGGAGGCATCTGGAGAGCTTGTGAGGTGTTAATGGGACACAAATCCCCCAGTTGAGCTGCCTGGTGGTTTGGGTTGGTTCTGCTTTGAAGAGTGTATTAGTCACATATTGTCATCTGCAGAACAGTCTCTGAGTCAGGGACCCGTGGGGACTGCAGCACACAAAGGGAAGGGACCGGTCCTGCTGCAAGCTGGATCTGTGCAGGATCAGGCACCCATTCAAGTAATCCCAGTTACTAAATAAAGCCAGCTCCTATGAGCCTCAGTGTCACTGTAAATGGGCAAATGCATGAGCTGTGGCAGCAGATTGCTCCTGCCTCCTCTTTGCAAGGAGGGACAGAGCCAAAGGAGCAGCCTGGGAGGCAAGAGCCTTCTCTCCAGCCTGGTCTCCACCCCTGGCAGTGTTCAAGGCCAGGCTGGACACAGGGGCTTGGAGCAACCTGCTCTAGTGGAAGGTGTCCCTGCCTGTGGCAGGGGGTTGGAACTGGATGAGCTTTAAGGTCCCTTCCAACCCAAACCATTCTATGACACAGCATTTCTCCATGGTCCCCCCCAGGGGCAGCTCAGTGCAGTTGAATTGGGCAGTAAGGACAAAGTCCATGTTTGCCACAGAAGAGCATACCTATACCTTCTATAGCAGTGATGGGTCTGGAAGTGGTCAGTCTGCCTTGGATTGTTGATCTTGCTAACACTGAAGAAACCCCCCCAATCCACCAACTTACCAGGATTAAAGTCTTGCATGATCCCAAGGTGCTTCCATCATCTTGCTGATGAAGAAGGTGCCTTCCTATCTCCAAATGCTGAAGAAACACTTGGAGAAGTTCATCTTCCAGCAGTTGGTTTGTAGCTGGGGAGAGTAACTCTGGGCTCAACTTCTGCTTTCAGGCACTCAATGGATTTGTCATCGCTGTGACAGGCGACGGTTGTATCTTCTACATCTCCCCTACTGTGCAGGACTACCTGGGCTTTCATCAGGTGGGTACCATGGCTGTAACCGGAGGGATGCAGTCCAGCTCTGGGGAGGAAGTGCTGCTAAAAGTGATGCCAGGGCTTTATTCTTCCTTCCCAGCTCCCTTGGGCCATTCTGGATGTATGTTTTCACATGACTCATGTCCTTTGGGGGCTGTGAAAGCCAACAAGAATGCTTGTGATTTAGTAGGAACAGATGCAAGTTGAGCAATGGCAGGCTTTAGCTTCTTACCTCCCTGTGGAAGGGCGGTGTGAGAGTTGTCTTGGATCATGCTGCTGGGCACTTGTGCTCTGAGGGCATCTTGGCATCAGGGTCAGTAGCATGGCTTATATGGGATGCCAAGGACAAGCAGGTCTCAGCCCACATCCACCCTGTTACCTCCAGTGCTGGCCAAAGGACTGAGTCCACAGCAGGGCTGTGGGGCTGACAAACCTGCATAGGTGCTGGTGTACCTGCAGGGACTGATGTGGTGATTCCAGCCCTGCCATGGGCAGCCTGTTCCAATGCTTGAGCACCCTTTGGGGAAGGAATTGTTCCTCAGCTCCATCTAAACCTGCCCTGGTGCAGCTTGAGGCTGTTTCCTCTTGTCCCACTCCTTGTTCCTTGGGCTGATGCACCAAAGTCAGGGCAGTCAGGCAGGGAGTGCTCTTCTCAATGTACCTGTGTATCTGGTTAAGCAGGATGCTGTGCTCTGACCCTTTCCTAAGGGAGTGGCCTGAGCTGCCCATGGGTGATCAGAACCATGCTGACCATCACAGTGTGCAGGACTAGGATGGGCAAGGCATGGCCCTACAAGAAGGGGGTGTTGGGAGGCAGATGTGAGGACTTGCTGGTGTTCTTCCTGTGTGGCTTTTACAGCCCAGCATCAGCATGTGCATCTTCCCTGGTGGCCCACTTAAGGAAGGTGATTTGCGCTGGGATACAGATTCCCACCGGCTGGGAGTTAAACCCCATACAAACCCACTTTTTAAACCACCAAATCCCTTTGCATAAATCGGGAGGGTGGGGGTGGCAGAAAATAGATTGGTTTGGTTAAAATGGTTTGATCAACCTTGGAATTACTTTATGCATTGATCCTGTGGGAGAAACAAAGCAGAGAGCCAGGGATGGCAGTGCAAAGAGGGAGCTTGTGTGCTGCTGGAGACTGCAGTTTGAACCCCACCAACACATTCCCCTCTGACAACCCACAACCCTTGTGGCCCTGGGTCTGGTTTGGTCCTGAGATGATGCTAGAGGCTAAGGCGTGCCAGGTAAATGCTGCTGCTGCAACGTGCATCCCACATATGGGGAGAAAAGCTTCCCAAAGAGCAGGCTGGGAGTCCATTCCCCATGGACTGTGGTTAAGGATCAGGCACCAGAGCCAGTGTGGGACATCCTTGGAAGGGCTAGGGGACACAAGGAGAACCTGTGGTGAACAGGCTGGAAAGCTCTGTTTAGTTATGGCCAGAGGATGCTGGGGATACGGGCACTGTGATGCTCCTGAGCAGCCATGCTTTCTTGGACATCACCATTTCCATTATAGAAACCTCTGAGCTGTTCCCACATTGCCAGAGGCTTTCCCCCATCTCTGCTCACTTTTCCTCCTTCCTGAGCCACCCTTCTTAATAGCCAGCAGGTTCCTGGTCCTTGTTCTCAAGGGACACAAAGTTTTGTGTTTGCCACTTTATGCTCTATCGCTGTGCTTTTAGTGTCCATGAAGGAAAGGCTCTTGCTGTGTCCCCCTCCAGACACCTTTTCCAGGCCTTTCTTCAACAAGAACTCTCCTCATGTCATTCCAGTCGGATCTCATCCACCAGAGTGTGTACGAGCTGATCCATGCGGATGACAGAGCTGCCTTCTGCCACCAACTGCACAGGGCTCCAGTGTCCAGCAGCAGCCAGCATGGTGAGTGCCAGGGTGATCCCCCTGCATGGCCACTCCATGCTGGAAAACCCTCCTGCTGCTGCCTAGAGCCACCAAGCGCAGGGAGCATCCCATAGCCTTCCCTCTGGGACTTGCAGCCATCCCATGGTTGTCACCAACAGGTTTGTGCTGTGCTATACGGATGGGGATGTTTTCCCCAAACCTTTTTGCTTTTCAGGGTTTGAAATCCTATTCATTCCAATGGGAGCAGGTTGGCCTTGCTCCTGTGTGAAGGGGCAAGAGGACTCTGCCTTCCCATGGCAAGGTTGGGAAGATACTGCCCATCAGGTGGAGATCATGGGCTCATTCATTGGAGAAGAGAAGCTGTGTGGAGACCTCGGAGCAGCTTCCAGTGTCTGAAGGGGGCTACAAGGATGCTGGGGAGGGACTCTTCATCAGGGACTGTAGTGATAGGACAAGGGGTGATGGGTTCACACTGAAACAGGGGAAGTTCAGGTTGGAGATAAGGCAGAAGCTCTTCCCTGTGAGGGTGCTGAGGCGCTGGCCTCATCCCTGCCCCATCCCTGGCAGTGTTCAAGGCCAGGTTGGACACAGGGGCTTGGAGCAACCTGCTCTAGTGGAAGGTGTCCCTGCCTGTGGCAGGGGTAGGAACTGGATGAGCTTTAAGATCCCTTCCAACACAAACCATTCCATGACTCATCTGAGCGTCAAAGTCTCCACCAGAAACAGTTCTAGACATGTACAGCTTGGAAGGCTTCATTTTCGCTTTGGTTTCCCAGCATTTCCCATGGAGCTGCTGGCTGGATGCAGCACCACATCCAGCCCCGAGGAGCCCTCCTTCATGGAGAGAAGCTTCACCTGCCGCTTCCGCTGCTTGCTGGATAACTCCTCGGGATTTCTGGTAATGCTGGGATACCCCTCCATGATTCTGTGGTCTTCCTGAGGGACCACTGATGATCCATGGGGAGGCAGCACAGCCAGTCCCCATCACCCTGTTCACTTCCCACCCATGTTCTCTAACCCCATCCAAGGCCTTGTGTTTCCATGGGCGCTTGAAATGCCTCCTTGGGCAGCAGAAGTCACCATCAGACAGGTCCCCATTTGTCTTCTTCGCCATCGCAACTGTCCTTCAGCCATTCTCCATCCTGGAGCTCCGGACCGAGACGCTGATCTTCCAGACAAAGCACAAGCTGGACTTCACCCCCGTGGCCTGTGATTCCCAGTAAGACACCTCACCTTCCCTATGGCAAAATGGATAGAAGACCAGAGCCCATGGGAGCAGGGTGCTTCTGACCCAACTCCCATGGCAAAGTGTCTGATGCTTCTGTCCATCCACTGTAGTTCCCCAATACCATGAGGAGCAGATTAACTGAGTGACAGCACTTCTTGGCTGCTGGGTTTTAGCCCAGCCAACCCAGCTTGGGATGGTTCTGTGGGAGAAGGGATGCAGCTCAGCCCAGGATGGGGAGCTGTGGTACCCAGAGTGGGAAGCTGTTGGGTAGGGGATCACATCTGGCTGGTGGGATGCAATTGGGGAATCTATCCCTGGTATCCCTGTTGGTCCCCATATTTCCAGGGGGACGGTTGTCCTGGGGTACACGGAAACGGAGCTCTGCAGGATTGGGTCTGGGTACCAGTTTGTGCACGCTGCTGACATGATGTACTGTGCCGAGAGCCACATAAGAAGTGAGTGTTGGGGGGAGACGCACTGGGATGAGGGGGCTTGGGGGGGTTCTTATGGCTTTTGCTCCTTGGTGGGGCTGTGCAGACAGCACTGGATGTGCCATGCTGGCTGCATCCCACACTGCTCCCATAGCACGGGCATGAGGTGATGCTCAAGCTCTGGTGCCTTATCCCTATCAATAACCATGTCCCTGCTTCCTCTCTTGTCTCCCTGCCCTAGTGATGAAGACAGGGGAGAGTGGGCTGATAGTCTTCCGGCTCCTGACCAAGAAGGGTGCCTGGGTGTGGGTGCAGGGCAGTGCCCGGCTGGTGTACAAGGGGGGCAAACCCGACTGCATCATTGCCCAGCAGCGAGCCCTCTCGTGAGTATCTCTGTGTCTCCATCTGCTGTCGACGCTCTCAGAGTTAGATTAGACCTTAGGCAGAAGCTGGGGTTGGAACTGGATGAGCTTTAAGGTCCCTTCCAACCCAAACCATTCCATGATTCTACACTCATTTCTGCCTGGGATAAGCTATGGACACACAGCCCTTCCCTAAGCCCTTCCCAGAGTCTCAGTCCTCCACCAGCAGCATTGTAGCCAGTCCATGTGCTTTAGAAAAGCCAGGGCAGGGCTGTGAGCTCCTGTCTCACTGTTGAGAGGGTGGTTTTGTCTGGTCCCTTGTAGAGGAGGTGCTCATGCTGTTTTCCATCATTTTTCCCTCTGACCTGAAGGGATGAAGAAGGAGAGGAGAATCTGTGGAAGAGAAACCTGCAGCTGCCTTTTACCTTTGTGACGGGGGAAGCAATCTTATACAGGAATGACCTTCCTGAGACCCTGGACTCCTTCCAGGCAAAGGAGGAGCCACAGATACGAGCACACTCCCACCCAAAGCAGTGCCTGGTAGATCCCAACCCTCTTCTTGGGCCTATGATGAAGCAGGATGCATCCATCTACAGCTCTCATGCTGATAATGTGCTTCAGCTCATTGCTGAGGTCGGTGGACTGCGCCAGGATGAAGGAGTCAGTGATGCCAAGGACAGTGACTCCCTCCTGGTCATTATTGAGACCCTCTTTGAGAAGAGTGAGGTGGATGGAAACATGTCCCAGGCCCTGCAGAGCCTCAACATGGACACTGCAGAGCTGCAGTGGTGGGAGGATGCTCTGCTCAGCTTGGGTGCAGAGAAGTCACCAGTTCAGGAGGTTGGCACTCAAGTGGCATCCTACATGGAGCAGATGTTCCTTGGGCAGGATGCTGGGAAGAGCATGGCATTCCCACCCTGCAGTGAGGAGGATGGTGCTGTAGCTCATCTCCAGCAATGCTGGGCAGCTCATTCAGTGTGTCAAGCCCCAGCACAGCCCCAAGTACCCAGTGCCCAAGGCCAAGATGCTGTGGTCCCTCTGGTCTCCATCAGCTCTGCTCAACCAGAGCAGCAGGTTCTGTCTAACCCAGCTGGGCTGGTGGGGGGCACTCTTCTGGATAGCCCATTTGAGCTGCCAGGACAAGGGCTTCAAGCAGGAGTTCCCACCTCTTCCCCTATGGATAACACTGTCCCTAATGATGACATCCAGTCTGGGGGCAAGCGGGTGGGCTCAAGCTGCCCACCACCATTGCACTCAAACACACCAGTGACCCAGTGGCACAATGTCCCTGTTCAGGCAAACCCAGGCAATGCTTTGGGGCAGAGCACTTCTGGAGGCTGCCAGCCGAATGCTTGGATAGCTCTGAAACATCTGGAAGAAGCAGGAACACATCTGGAGTCCCAACCTGTGCTGGCTGGCAGCCCCAAGAGCCTCCCAGGGGCTGGGTTGTTGTTGCTGCCCTCCCAACCTGCTCCTTGCCCTGCACAGGGCTTGCATGAGTCCTTGTTCTCCCATGGGGACCTCCATGAGGAGGAGACTGTTCTCCCTGCAAGGGCATCACCAGAGGATGGGGGCTTCCCCAAAGAGCCCCATATATCCCACCTAGAGCCCAGCTTGTCCTGGGAAGGGGAGCAGGCAGTGTTCCAAGAGGATAAATGGTCCATGCAGTGGCTGCTGCAGGCTGGGGCAGCTCCCTGTTGCAGTGGGGCAGGTCCAGTGCAACACAGCAGCCTCCTGCTGGGGTCCAGTGCTGGTCCTGCACTGCCAGACCACGTTGTGCTGCCCGAGTGCCAGTATGGAAATAGCCTTTTCAGCCATGAAAGCAACTTCTTCAGGGATACCCCTAAGACACCCCTTCCCCAGCATCCTGTTGCTGTGCCTTTCCCCAGTGAAAGCCACCCTGAAGCATCATCAGGCTCGGTTTTGAGGTTCTCAGCATCTATTCCTACAAAGGTGGGTGAAGGAGCACTCGAGCAGGGTCCTGGCTTCCCATCAGCATCCTCCTTCATGGATGGGCAACCTCTGTGTGCCTGTGAGGTCCAGCTTAAGGTGAGGTGTGAGGGCTGCAGAACTTGAGGGGTGCCCCAGCTCTCATGGGTAGAGCGAGAAGTGGTACCCAGGGAATGCAGGCACAGCATCCTTTGTGGGCAGCCTGGGTTTGAAGCATCACTGTGAACTAGGAGCCATGTTTTGAAGAGCCACCAGCAACTGGGAGCATTCTGGCCATGCACCACCTCTGAGTGCTTCCTGGTCTCAGGAATTGTGTCTTCCAGTGCCTGAAATGAAGTTCCCTAGCAGAGCTTTCAGGCAGCCTAGGATGAAGTGTTTTCTTTGTTCATTTAGTTGGGTTTTTAACAGGTCTTTAAGGGAGATGCAGCCATGCCAGCAAGGATGATGGCAGACTTTTAGGATCCAAGGAAGGACACATTGTTTGCTGGCCTATGTGCTCATGGCAATCTCTTGCAGATGGACCTGCTGCTTTACATGCAATGCAGCACTGGATTGCTGTTTCTCAATGCAACATGGGCTCCTCCTCACTTCTGTGATGAGGACCACCCTTGCAATGTTGGGTCCCCTGCAGCATCTCAGCCTGCTTGATTGTGCTTGCTCCCCATCCCCTGCAATCTTCATCTCCTCTCCCTGTTCCTCTGGAAAAGGGATGTTATCAAGCACTTGGAGAAGCTCAACAGCATCTGCAGGGTCAGTATGGGATATGGAGTTGGTGAGAGCAGAGGCATCGGGGTGTGGGCTATTCAACAGGGACTTTGGGAGAGGTGGGTACCAACCTGTTGAAACCTTTCTGGGCAGGAGGGTGAGCAAGTTCCAGCCAAGCTCCGCCTCACGTCACAGTGGTTGGGAGAATCATCCTTTCAGCCTTTCACACCAGTGGTAAGCATGTATGGGTTGCTAAGGAGTAAAATAAAGTCTGCTGGAGTGGAGTGGTTCATCTCCTTGCATCCCTTCCTTCATGCCCTGCTTTGCCTCACTCTGCTGGGGCTGATGGTGGGAAAGATGGGACTTGGGAAGGGTTAATGCCCTGGCTTCATGCTGGGAGCAAAGTGATGCTGATGACAAGCCCAATGCCTCTGAAGTGGCCTGGAGGAGCACTTAGGGCAGGGAAGGGAGCTGAGTACCTATGATGTGAAGCCTTACAAACCAGAAGACCTAAAATGCCACCAGATGCACTCCACTGGCCAGCCTTTATTGTCCTGGCATCTGTAAGATCATAGAACCTCAGCCTGGTTTGTGTTGGAAGGGACCTTAAAGCCCATCCAGTTCCAACCCCCTGCCACAGGCAGGGACACCTTCCACTAGAGCAGGTTGCTCCAAGCCCCTGTGTCCAACCTGGCCTTGAACACTGCCAGGGATGGGGCAGCCACAGCTTCTCTGGGCACCCTGTGCCAGCGCCTCAGCACCCTCACAGGGAAGAGCTTCTCCCTAAGAGCTCATCTCAGTCTCCCCTGTTCTGGCAGGTTAAAGCCATTCCCCTTGTCCTGTCCCTACAGGCCCTTGTCCAAAGCCTCTCTCCAGGTTTCCTGTAGCCCCTTTAAGCACTGGAGCTGCTCTGAGGTCTCCCCTTAAGGAGCCTTTTCTTGTCCAGGCTGAACCAGCTCAGATCTCTCAGCCTGGCTCCAGAGCAGAGCTGCTCCAGCCCTTGTGTGGGTACCAGGCTCTGTGAGCAACCACAGAAGGGGGATGGAGCAGGGCTGAGCTGCAGACAGGAGCAGCAGAGAAGGCTGGAGGCAGGGGGTTGGAACTGGATGAGCTTTAAGGTCCCTTCCAACACAAACCAGGCTGGGATTCCATGACTCAGTGAAAAAAGGACAGATATTCTGTCTTAAATCCTAAGTTAGGTGCCCAAGCCAGGCAAGAAGGAGTTGAGAGTCATGGATAGGAGGCCTGATACAGTGCAGAGCTGCCAGGGTGTCCATAATGGAAGTAGACCTGCCTTTGTGATGTTCTTTGATAGCTGCCGGTGGTGGATGCAGCTCTGTGTGATCTTCTGCTCTTGGAGGTGGATCCACCTAGATGCCTTCTTGATGTTCTGGAGAATGGCCACCATGGCCCCTTCTTGATGTTATTTCTGCTGTTTTGTTTTCATGTAGGGGTAATCAATTTCCATTGGTTCTTCTTGATCCTCAGGTGGATCCACCTCCATGGACTTGTCCCTCTCTTCAGGCTGGTCTACTTCCATTGGCTCTGTACCGTCAGAGCCACTGTTGGTGCTGCCTCCCATTGCCGGCATCTTTCTCTACCTGCCTACCATGGGCACCAAAAGCGCTGCCCCGTGAGACATAGCTTTTCAGCTCCCTGCCTCCCTGGTGCCAATGATGCTGGACCTGGGAGCTCAGCAACTGCCGGGTGTCTGCAGGGTCCCTGTATTTATAGCACCCAGGGCAGAATGTGCTCTATAACATCGGCAGCCTGCTGTTATGGTGATGGACTGGAGAGTCCTGCAGTGGGGACGGGATGTGTGCAGCCTGACAGGTTCTGATGCTGTGGTTTTCCAGCAGGAGCCAGGAAAAAGGGTCCCTGCTTTTCTGCCTGAGTGCCCTGTAGAGAATGCCCAGGGCAGGGGCAGTTGCAGAGTATTTATCCCTCAAGCATCCTCAGGCGTTTCCTGCCCTGCATCCCTTGCCTGGGAGCCCCGTTCCTGGACTCCTTTTGCAATACATGTGTTTGAAATGCCAAGTAACTCCTCTTTCCACCTGAGGAATTAGAACTGAGTCCAAGTGAAGTAAAGTAGGGATTGGCAGACATTTCTGCCCTGCTGGAGCTGGGATGCCAGAGAGGTTGGTCACTGCAGGAAGGCTGTTCCTGCTTACTTGTTCCCATTTCCCAGTGGAGACCCAGGGCACGGTGTGCCCATGGTTTATCCGTGCACACGGGTTAATGGAATCTCTCACAGTCTATGGAGTGTGGGCAGTTTGATAGTGGCTGGGTGCTTTTTCCCCATGAGGGAAATAGCCACCTTCTCCCTGATGCTGCTCTGGAAGAGCTTTGGATCTTGGAGCAGGCTCATGAATAAAAGATGGTGCTCCATGAAGCATAGGAGGCACTCTTCAGAGGCCTTGCATGAGGAATTGGAATGTGTGTGGGCTTCACTGGAGCTTTAAGCTCCCAGACAGAAGGGGCACCTCTAAGCACTGTGAGCACGGATAGCCCGGGGCTGGTGATGGGGACACTGGATATGGGACTTGGGAACAATCGAGCTAGATGGATCCGTGCGCGTTGGCCAGCAGGTGGCATTGCAGGTCAAGCACAGCAACCGGGAAGAGCTCCAGTGCAATCACAGGGCTCCACTCCACTGCATACAGGCAGGTGCAGTGGAGAAGGAGAGGACAAAGGCTCTTCCTATGCTTCCCAAAGCAACAGCATGGAGAAGAGAAAGAGAGTGAGGGAAGCCTAGATCCCTAGATAACTTGCCTCAGGTCCTTTCAGGGCAACGTGGTTTCAAGCTGAATAGAGGGTAGATTGAGATCAGATGTTAGGGAAAAAGTCTTTAGCACCATAGTTCAGGCACTGTGAGCTATGGTGGTGAACAGAAGGGCCGTGACAGTCATGGTCAGAGACTCACTGGGCAGTAAGTGCAGTAAAAGCTGTTCCCTGGCATGGTGTTAACACATGATTGTTATTCTCATGTGAGTTTCCATAGTTCTTCAGGAAGAGTGTGATTGCATCAGGGCAAAAGGCAAAGGAGAAAAGGCAAAAGGAAGTGAACAGCCATGGTTGAGGAGCACCTTAAGAAGCAGCCATGAGGGCAAACAGCATGCTGCACTTGGCGAAAGAGGGGAATGACATGAGCTGTTGATAGCATCTTCCTCTGATTCGATGAGACAACACAACAGAGTGCTCTAAACACTGCGTCAGGAAGACAAGTATAGGCAAAAATTAGTGCTTGCATCTTCCTCAGCCCATTCCCTCCAGCTCCAGCTGAGATACGAGCTGGAATTCACTGACTATCCAATGTGTATCTGTCTGTCAGTGATTTGAGCAACCTGCTCCAATGCAAGGCATCCCTGCTCTTGGCAGGGCTTGGAGCTAGGTGAGCTTTAAGGTGCCTTCCAACCCAAACCATTCTATGATTTCTATGCCTACGCTGGCTCTGGGAAAAGGATCCGTTCCCAACAAGGTCTGAGCTGGCAAGGAACCCTCCAAGCAGCTCAGAAAGTGAGGAAGCACCTCACTGACAGGCCCTTCTGCCTGTTCCTCTCAACAGGAGGGGCATGGGACCTTCCACAGAAGCAATGCAGTGACAAATCCATGTGACAATCTGCATCCGTAGCTGATGTTGGAGGAGCTCCAATGAAGTTTGAGGAGTAACTTTCCTTTGACCCCGGTGTATTGGTTGGACGCCATTTAAATCAGCATAGCCGCTGGGATGCTGATAGAGGAATCCGATGAGCCCCTTCTCCCCCTGTGGCAGAAGGGTGAAGGAGAACCGGTTGGATCCGTGAGAGGTCGCAAGAGACAGGATGGAACAAGCTGTGGAGGCGATGGAACGGTAGAGAGAGCACGTACGCCACCTTGGGCCCGTGCTTGGTAGAGGCCCAGGGCTGCTGTGATGCTCTGCGAGACTGGGAAGGGGTGGTTTGCCGCAGAAAATATACGGACCCAGTCAGAGATCAATATGATCAGACAAAAGCCGTTTATTACAAAGCCTTAACCCCTTATATACCATTTCTTACAGGCACTTACAATGATTTGGCATATTATGATTGGATACATGTCTTGAAGACCTCCAGTGACTAACACATAATTGGTTAAGCACAGGTGTGTGTTCTCTGTTAACTCTGTTAATTCCAGTTTCTTCTTATCTTGCTTATTTAGGCTTCCTCGGGCCTCTCATGGCCTTGCTGTATCTTTCAGGATTTATGTACCAATTATCCCTTGTCCTGTGAGAACTTTGTCTCCACATCTCCCCCTTTTTGTTTTATATATCTTTTGGATGACCCTACTTGAGCAGAGGATTTGGGTTAGATCATATTTCCAGCATATGCCAACTACAGGCTGCTGGGCCTG